AAAAAAAAAAAAAAAAGAGGGGAAAGAGCTTCTGTAGATTGACCTTACAGATAAGGAAATTCAGAGGATAAAAGTTCAGCGCTAATAAATGAATGAGATCTGAGCCATCTGGTTTGAGGCTCCATAGCCAAGAAGACACTTTCATTTACTGTTCTTGTACTGTGAAGGGATAACTAGTTGGGTTCCTGCACAGTGAAGAGATAAACATCAGGGCTATCTTTCCAGAGCTTAGAAGCAGGAAGAACTTTGTCTCAAGAATCTGGAAAAGTCAGCATGACTGGCCTTTTTTGGAGTTAAGTGCTCTTGAGAAAGCACTGTCCTTGCATACTAAAGACAGAAGACAGGGCCATGTCAGGTTTAATGACTGGAAAAAGTCCCAGAGGCAGGCTCAAAGACTTTAAGATGTTTGAATGTCAGGTGGAGGGAGAGAAGAGCGAAGTAGCTTACAGGAAAAACTCCATTTCAGGGAAAAAAAACCAAAACCAAAAAACAAAACCTTCCTCTTTCTTTAAGGAAAAATGGGAGGAAGAGAAGGAAGGAGAAATACTCTAAACACCCAACAGATAGCTAGGAATTTTGAGTTTACCATTTTTTTCTAAGCCCTGATGCCCTCCCCACAAAGTGTTCTTCACCATGGTTACCTGTTTGGCTGCAATTTCTTCATCGCGTCCGTCTCCAATCACTACATATGTCACTTTCTTTCCAAACCTCGACACAATTCTCTCGAAGCAGCTCTCCTTACCTGGTAAGAAAAAGGCAAGGACTATCAGGACATTCCTCCCTATCTTTTCCCCCTAACACCAAAGAAAAGGGTCCACTTTTTTGGACAAAGTAAGTGGCAGCCCATATAGTATCTTTGTGGGGTACAGGGGTGCACCTAGAGATCCAACGGGCCCTCTACCAGACTGAAGTTGTGCCATTAAAACACCAACAGACTTTCCAGGTCTTATTTCAACCTTCATGCCAAGGGTGAAGTCCCTAAGATCTTAGTGTGAAGAATTTCCATAGATGAGGGGTGAAGGGGCGTAGGCAGTGTGAGCACGGGACCACCACCTTCCTTCCCACCTTTCCTGTATTTACAGCTTACAAAGTAGTTGTCAAGTAATCCTTTCCTTTAATTCTCAAAATTACCCAGTGAGATGGGTAATATTCCTCATTTTATAGATAAAATGGGACCCAAAGTATTAGTGACTTGCCCAGACCACAACTAAGCTAGCTAGTAGACTTTGGGCTTGTGACCCCAAGTTTAGGTTCAGGCCAGTACACCCTCATAAAAGGACGATTTTTGAGAGGAAATTGTTTTAGTGTAGGAAAGAGAAGAGGAAACAAAGATCTTTATTTTTTTGTAAATAATAACAAATTTTCCAGAGCCAGTCCTAGACCTGAACCTTTTCAGGAGAGGAGTCCTAGAGTGCCAATGATACGGCCACGTCTGGAACCTTCTCCCTACTTTACTGTAACCATTGTTTACTGTACCTGAAACTGTTCTTATCAGTCAAACAGGCCTCGGGAAATGGGTGATTTAAATTCACTGCAGATAGTTCTGCGAAACGTTGTTATATCAAAAAATTCAAATCCCACCTGAAACCAACATCTAAAGAATGTACAGATGATACTGCTGTGGAAAAGATATTCACATAAATAAAAAGAAAATTATTTCCCTTGCCTTTTTTTCACTAACTTTTATACTTTATTTCCCTGTTTCTGCCACCTTCTTCAGTTAAGCAAGGTCCTAACTTTGCTTCCTTCTTCATCCTGCTCCATTAACCTTCTCATCCTTTCTTCTTTCCAGATCCAGTGACATAGCACCAGGTTCCTGAGTGAATAAGAAAAAGGTGGCTCTTCCTCAAGACACTTGGCTGCCATCTGCTGGAAAACTATATTGCTATCACAATATCCAAATCTAATGTGACTGACAAGAAACTGACACTCATTCTCAGAAATCCTGTGTGGGACATTGGGCAATTACCACTTGTCATTCCCAACCCATGTGGTACCTCAAACCAGGGCGACTAGTCATCTGGACCAGACTCTAGGTCACTTTGGGCTTCAGCCTCTGGCTTACTAAAACTTGGCTTCAGTGCATGTGAAATAGCTCAGTCACACCTTACACTCATATCAGGCATTCAATCAACATCTGTTAAGTAAATGCACATAAACCTTACAAATGATTCAGTGGATAATTGCTCATGTTTCAAGCCCCAATCCAAACATTATCTCTAATAATGAATTCTTATTATGTTCAAAGTGTTAAAGAGTTCTTTACCTAATTCCATTCCAACCATTACATCCCTAAAACCTAGCCAACCTCTGTCAGAAGCAATCTTATTTACCAAGTCAACAGAAAAAAACAAAAACAAAAACACCAATCTTTTAAGTCATTCTTTTCTCCTAAGACCCAACAGAGAAATATCTTTTATTGAGAGGACATGGATAGCGATTTTTCATGGTCCAGGCACACAGTGATAGAGGATGAAATACACTTAGGAATGTCTTTTCTAAAAGTATCAAGAGTCTGAGAGTTACTAACAGCTGAAAGTACATGAAAAATTTACTCCTACAGAGATGGCAAATATTTTCCCTCCATTTTACACATTAAAACAATCTTGAGGATGAGCTTTCCTGCTTGGGAGGAAAAGGCCAATACAAGTTAGCTTACTCAAAGTCAAACAATCTGTAACTGCAAGACCAGCTAGCCTTTAGAAAGTATTAGATATCTGGCCTTCCCCTATCAAAAACACTTCTGACACTTTCAAAAATGATTTTGAGAATTTCCTTCAATGTCCAACATCACAGAATAGTCCTCAAGAGAGCCACGGAATTGAACGACTATTTCTTCTCCTTGCTGGCAGGTCAGAGTTCTACAAGGAACACGTCAAGCCTCCCGCTGTGGCAGGGGCGCCGTGGAGCCTATGCCACGTCTACTTAGCTCTGGACGAGAGACTGCACAAGATCACCAAATAAACACTGCCAGAGTGAAGAAAATCACTTCCATTAGTTTGATAAACCTTTGGGTACCAGGACTCAATCTAACAAACAGAAGAGAAAATCTACCTTTCAGGGGCCTGGATTCCTACAAAACACGTAGTACAACAGCAGCAGCAGTAATAAAATACGAAGGGGGCTTTCAGATACATTCTTCCCAATTCTTAAATTCCCTGCAAATTAAACAATTCAACCATACCAAATAAGAAAAGAAATGCCTACATATCTACCAAGTCTTAATAATTCATAGTTGCTATTAATAAAAAATGACATTCCAGATTTATCTGAAGTTTCCAATATACCCCTCCCTAGTGCCATTCTCTCCGTGAGCCTATTTCATAAACAATATACTGCTGTGAATATTCTGAACCTTTATACAAATGTTATATACTGTATATCTTTATCTGTAATGTGCTATTTTTTGGGTGTTCAACATTGTTTTTCATAACAATCCTTATATATATATATACACATGTATTTTTAACTCACCCACTTTTAATTTGCTATATAGCTGCCATTGTTTGAATATATCTATTTATCTATTTATCTATATATCTATTTTCTGTTCATGGACAGGTTCACAGGCTATTTCCAATTATAAACAAAGTAGCATGAAAAACAAAATTCTTTTGTCCTTGTACACAAAAGAATCACTCAAGAATGGGCTTCATGAAAACGGACAGTAAATATTTCAGGTTTTATAAATGGTAGATAAAGGAAAATTTTAATGTTCTGTGGTAAAAGTCAAGTAAAATAAATGTATTATTCTTGCCATATTTACATGTAGAGTTCAGCAGAGTTCAGTACACTCACATTGTTGTGCAATAAAGCTCCAGAACTTTTTGATTTTGCAAAACTGAAATTTATACCCAATTTAACAACTTCCTATTTCCCCTTCCTCAAGCTTGTGGGGACCTCCATCCTACTTTCCATTTCTATGAATATGAACATTGCAGGTACCTTAAATAGCTGGAAAGACAGTATATATCTTTTTGAATTGACTGGCTCATGACTTAAAGACATCCAAATGCTGGTGGCACATAATAGGATTTTCTTTCCTTTGAAGGCTGAATACTACCCCACTATATGGATCTACCACACTGGTTATCTGTCCATTCAATGGACAGTTAAGATTTCTTCCACTTCCCGGGTATTGTGAATAAGGCTATTATAAATATGGTGTCCAGATACTTCTTTGACATTCTGCCTCCACTCTTTTGCATTTTTCCCAGAGGTAGGACAGCTGGATCACACGCTAGTTTCACCATTTTACTACCCTTGCCCCAACATCGGACCAGGGCTCCAGTGTCTTTATGTCTTTGCTGAACGTTTATTTTCCTTTTCCCACAGTACCTATCCTAATGGATATGAAGAAATTTTTAACCATTTTCAAGTATACAGTTTAGCTCCTGATTTTTAATCTAGTGCTTTTTCTATCATATTGCACTGTTGTGCCTGCTCTGTGAAAGAGAATGAAATCTCCAAGAACAGATTTCTAAACTAAGATATTATGTTTAAATATTATAAAAGAGAACACGATAAACCTTAAGTCTGACAAACCTGGATTTGAATCCTGTTTATTTAACTTACTATCTGTGAAGCCTTGGATCAGCTACACCACTGTTATATTTGAACAGCCTCATAAATAACATATAGATAAGTGTTTCTCACATAGGCTGGTAAATAATAAGTGTATCTTAAGCAGGGAGATTTCCTGTAAGCTCAGTGATTAGAATAGAAGCCATACCAATTTTGGTAGCACTATAGATGTTTTCAATAGGAAATATTTCTCCTAGTCCATATAGAAGGACCTTGGCCAGGGCTGGAACCAGCTGGGTGGTAGTGATCAGAACATTCACACAATTCTTTCTAGAAAGGAGAAAAGAAAAAGGTGAAAACAAAACTAAACTAATAAATTTAACTGAGTCGACTCTGTAGATGTATTAAAAATTACCCTCAAAGAGCCTGGTACTGTATTTGTTCAGTGACAATGTTCTAATTGTCTCAGGTTTATTTATCTGTCATATTAAACATGGATTCTACAGTCGACATGGATTAGCAATGTAATTCCTACCTTAGTTCTGACCATTCTAACCTGTTGTACTGGTTGCAAATACCAGTGACCCATGTTACTGCTACCACACTTTGGAAAATACACAACAAAGATTTTTCTGTTACAGTGCTATTTCATCAGAGTACAACTCAGTCCACAAGTGAGACATGATTTAAGTCAAATCCTAAGTCTTTATACAATGGCAACATAAACTTCACACGTCCTTTACCTTCACTAAGCATTTACTCCACGGTGTCAGTTTTACTAATTTTCTACCAAGGTTTGGAGCTGGAATTCCTGCTTTTCTGGGAGGCAGCAATAAAGATACTGGTATAGAGGTGCTGCACTTATTTCTCAGGCTAAGCTTTAAGCTGAGATTTCCTTAAGATGCCCTTTTCCTTCTGCCTCTCCTTCCTTTCTGACTGGGCTTTGGTACAGTCCTTCTTGGAGGTTCCTGTACTTAGGTGTGTGTATGTGTCTCCTACAGATGCCTTCCTTGTTGTCACCAATCCATTTGCTGGGTTGAAGTTATGAGTTACTGAGTTTTAATTCTCAGAGCAAAAGTAAGGGGGGAGGGGGGGAAGATTTCATCTACAAATGTTCTCTGAAAACTCTTAAGGTGTGCTGTTAGTGTGAAATGACCTTTCTTCCCACCTAACGTAAGCAGTTCCCAGTATCATTTAAACCCCTATTTCAAATCCTTTTTGGGGATTGGAGTATCCTTGATTAGGGTAGGAAAGTGTATGTTTCCAAGAGGCTGAGACCATAAAGAACCATTTTCACACCTGGACTGGATGAGAAGTAAGGACTTTAATGCAGTTCCTAGCCAGGAATCTGTCAAAACTTCAATTTCTGCTCTAAGTCGCTGCAGTGCTTCCTTTCTCTGGGGACTGAGAAGACCTTTGAGAATAAAAACAGACACATTTATCATTTAACAACCTACCCTGCTGACAATGAAGAAGAGACTTCTAAATTCAATTCAGAAGTAGTGTGAGTCAATGAAATTTTACACAGAGGATTATTATTATCATTTTCTTCAGGAACCCAATTTCAGGCACTCACCGGGCCTGATTCAAAAAGAATCAGACACTTAGGGTGTACAAGAAAACCAACACAGGATAAGCCAATGTTGACAAAAGAGGAAAAGCAAAGACTTAGAATTGCAAAATAAAAAGTACTGACTTTGAATCATGAAAACAGCAATTAAAAGGAAGGAAGCTGAAAAGTTAACTTGATCCCAAGGCCCTGAGGCCCATTATTCTTACTTTTTGCACCGCAGTGTAAGGTAGTGTGGCATGGTTGGCAGGCTCTACTGACCTGGGTAATGTAACTCTAGACAGTCTATGGAACCCTGAAACTTCATGCAACAGTGAAGTATATATTTTTAAGAGTGATTACTTCACAGTGTTAAATATTTCTCATAACTGCTCTGGGAAGAGAGTTAGGAAATGTGGATTCCAGCTACAGTATGGTAAGCAACTTGCTATGTCACGACCTTCACGACAGACTCATCAATTTTCTCAACTCTCAAGATTAGCTCTCAATTTGAACAATCTATGGTCAATGAATTATTTCTAAATAATAGTATTTGAGACACAGTGTTCTCTAACATTTGAAATTATTTCTGGGCAGAAAGAATTCCCATGGTCCTTCAAGTTGTAAACACATGGACACTGCTCATCTATAATCTTGGACCTAGTTTTATGTCTACTATTCACCTAGTTCTGACTTGTCTTCATGGGTTTATACAAATATGATACCCTCTAAAATAGTCTGGATAGTAGCTGTTACTCCAGAACAAGCACAAGTCAAAACATAATCTACTGTTTAAAAATAACAACAGGTCTTTGCAAAGTTATGCTAAGAGAAATCTATGAGAAATGTTGAGCTTCAAATCTCTGTTTTTAAAAAATGTTACAATATTACTGTAGCACAAATTCATGAGCAGCTGCCAGGAGAGTGTAAAGCCTCCCTGGAGAAGGAAACTAGAGGGGAGCTAGAAGGCAACAGAAACAGAGCGTTAGACCGGCTGGATGCCACACTTACCGCCCACGTTGCTTTTATGCTTATCATAGATTTCTCTCACTTTTCGGTAGCGGAAAGCCAGTTTCCTCATCCAGTCCACACCTCCCTGGACACCGACAGAGGAACCGTGGCTGCCACTGCCTCCTGAGCCACTGAAACCATCTGTTGAGAAACTGTAGTTGCTGCAAAGAGAGGATGATAATAATGAAAATCTATACTGCATGGGGGTTTTGGCCAAATGCCACTTGTGATTCTCCTCCCTATTCCTGGTATTTGATTTCAAGGCTAAAAACTTCTAGTATGTTTTCCTTAAATCTGCAAGGTCAGAGTTGAGCCATCATTAGTCTCCCATCTCACTGGCACTGCCATCAAAGAAAGGATGGAGAGGGCAGGAAAAAGAGGTGAGAACAATTCAAGCACCAGTTTCCCCCAGGGATTGACTAGAGAGAGGCTATGATTTCATGAAAAAATAATGGAAAGAAATAACTAAAATACTACTAGTAGTAAGATAACTGGAATATTCTCCCTCTGTGACCTGCTGACTGCTTTATTTAAGGTCATGGGTCAACGTGTTTGCTTAAAAATATGCCCTCACACATCTTGCTTAGTGAAATAAGCCAGAAAGAAAAGGAAAAATACTGGATGGTTTCACTTATAGCAGGAATATAAAGGACCTGGGGAGAAATTAATTAACAACAACAACAACAACAA